CACCCCACACACACACACACACACAAAACACACACACACACACACACACACACAGGCTCGATTCTTAAGACTCGGCAGAATGTGACTCCACCTGCGTATGTGTTTATGTGTTTTGGTTATGTGCTGCTTTTTCAGCACACAACACAGCACACACACCAAAACACACACACACACACACGACACACACAGCTCGATTCTTAACTGACTGGGCAGAATGTGATCCAACCTGCGTATGTGTTTATGTGTTCTGTGGGTTGATGGTTTGGCTGTGCTTTTTCAGTATCCACACACACACACACACAGCTCGATTCTTAATGACTGGCAGAATGTGATCCACCTGCGTATGTGTTTATGTGTTGTTTATGTGTGCTTTTTCAGGTCAGATTGTAGGAATTGGACAACATGTGTGCATCAGGATAGTGCACGCTTGTGCACATTAACAGGTTTTAGAATAATTAACAGAGCTGTTTCGATCGGAGACCAATGCTGCCCGGACAACAAATTGAAGCTGCTCATTTCTTGCTTATTTATAGACTGGCTGTTTTACATTTTGCGGTCAGTCCTCTTTTAAGGATATTGGCCTTGGTGTTTATAACTGAACATATTGAGCGGATCCAAAGCTAGTGGGGAAATTATCAATACCATCTTTGATCTTGCTCTGTGTTTGTGTTTCATCCATTAAATAACCATGTCATACTGTCTCCTGAGGGTAGAGAAGGACATCTCCAGGAGGAAACACATTAGAACAGATTTAGCACTGTGATTTTATCTGATTTGTTGGATTTTTATTTACAGATTCATCTCACGTTTACTCTTTTCATATCAGATTTTTTTTGTGCTCATTGGGTGATTTACTAACATATATTTCTTTTACTGAGGCAATTAACATTAAGAGGTTACTCAGAGGTCTAAATAGCCCTTCTCCAATTTCACGGCTGCTGCAGCCTTGTAACCACTAGGCCCACCATGTCCGTGTGTGTGTGTGTGTGTCGCCATTGCCACCACACACCATTTTCTGTAGATTTCAGAGCGCCTTGCTTAAAGGAAAGCTGCTACAGCGTAAAGTGTGGGTGGCCTGCAGTCGCAGCCATAAAAACGTACGTGTGTGTGTGTCGGGGAAGGGGGGGTCAGCAAGAAAGGCAAGAGAGAGAGTTGAAGACAGATGAAGAGAAGATGAGGAAAGGTTGTATCCGGGCATACTGTGTGTATGTTTGTATGTGTGTGTTTGGAAATTTGCTCCTCCGTGTGTGTCCTTCTCAGTGCATAGTACGTGCAAGTGTATGCAAGTCTTGGGGGTTGCAGGGGGGAGATCTAGTCTGACACAGGGAGGCAAGGAGTGGGGAATGAGCAAGGGCTGGGAGGGCTATGAGCTGAACGAAATAGGATTTTTTTAGTGTCGTGTCTATGTGGTCAGAGTAAATCTCCTTACTCAGGGGTTTTGTGTGCGAGGGGGGCTTTAACGTCCCCACTCTCCTTGATGAGACATCTTTCTTGTTTGTTCAAACCATTCATTACGTGGTGGCTGCTGGACAAGCTATGCCGCTGGCCGGCGTATTTATCACCGAGCTAAAGCGCGCTCTGGCTGACAGTAGGCGATTGATGACCGGGTCTGGGCCTGAGAGGCTGAGGAAGCCTTAATACAATGTAGATGACCCACTCCCATTTCCAATTTAGGCTGCTCTTCTCCACACACCTACATACCCCATCATCTTTAGCTACGTCTCAATTTTTGTGCGTCTGTGCATGTGTGTATATGCTTGTGTAGCTTGTGTGCATAAAAATGAGTGGGAGGGTGTGTGTGTTCTGTTAAATTTGCGAGCATGTTTTGATTGTGACCGAGGTCATAGCTAATGTGAAAACGCCAAGGAAGCCCAGGAGTGTATGGGGGAAGGAAAGAGAGGCTGTACTCTTTATTACATGTTGTTGTCCAGAGCAGACCCACACATAAACACACACGCACATGGGGATGTAGATATGTATATGTGTTCTTTGGATATTGTGCACACATACTGTATGTGCACGGACACACACACGCGCGCACACACACACACACACTACCCATAGAAATTGCTCTATGTCTTCCCCGGCCAAGGAAATGTCAGCGCCTGGCAATCAAAAAATGTATTTCTATGCAAGCATTATCATCTTTCCTTTGTTAATGATTTTAGCATATTAAAAGGAACTACGTACACAAGTACAAATCAGATTAATCCCTTTCTGCAGCCGGGACTCATTATTTGTCCAATTTCAGCCTTGTTTGTCATTAATTGAGCACATTCCTCAAACCGTTTTTTCATTTCTCCTTTAATTAAAATAGACTACATTTAGACAGGCAGTACCACCTGAAAGGAGAAATCCTCCTCTCTGCTGATATGAAACCTCAATTACATCAATTATTTTAGCAGTAAAGGAGAAAATAGTTCTTGAGCAACTGTTATCATTTCATGTTAAAACTGAATTCAATTAACACAAGCCAGGCGGACATTAACAGCTTTATGAAATTTGCTTTTGCAATGAGTGTGGAGGAGAAATGGAGCTGAAAAAAAGGGCACAAGTTGTGAGGCTAAAGGTGTTTTCCATAAAGGGGAAGAATGTGCGTTAATGGAGTTTGAAACCACCCTAAAACAGAGGATTTAAGTATCACCTGTTAAAAGGATTTTTTTGTCTTGTGATTTGCAGGTGTCATGTCTATGAATGTTTGTGTCTGTATGCATTTCTGTTGGTGCTTGTGTGCATTTCTGTTGGTGCTTGTGTGCGTGTGAACGTGTAACTCTGTGCGCAAGCATGCTTTCTGTCTACAGTGGCTGAATGAAATACATAGTGTCTCATTTGTTTCGTTTGCGTGCGCCCCGACTCCTAATCTGGCCCTTAAAGACATCTGTCACCAGCGATCACTGTTGTTTTGTCATGCTTCATAACGGACCCAGGGGGAGCAAGGCAGCCCAAGGTCTGCCATTTATATCAGCCCATGTTCTCTAGATTGGACCTGACACAAATAGTATCATTGCAGCCCTGGTCGCAGAATTACATTTTCAGGTAAAAATCTTGGCAGGGCTGTGGAGGAGATTTCACAGCACTCTCTTCTTTTAGCATTAGTCTGTATTCAGCTGCTTTCTATGAGAGAGCCACCACCAGGATACATGTCAGACATTCAAGGAAAGATAAATGTATTCGCTGCAAATCTGCACCCACTCATTCTGTTGCTTGGTATTATAAAGGGATTCTCAGACACCACAATATCTGCATTAGGCCTGCTGGAAAGTCTTGTTTGTCAGTGTCTGTGTGTGTGTGTGTGTGTGTGTGTGTGCACACTCGTAAGTGTGTTTTTTTGTTTTGTTTGGTGCATATATTTGGTGCATACACTATATGTTGTTGTGGAGACAGGGAAGGGGGTTATCACAGTTGTCAGTTTTGACAAACTTGTTCGGCCAGCTCTGACAGGTTTAGCACTAAGTTGTGTGTGTGTGTGTGTGTTTGTGTGTGTGTTTGTGTGTGTTTGTGTGTTGATGTGTGGGTGGACACGTGTATGTTCTGAATGTCTATACTGTGCAAGGGAGGGGCAGGGTTGGGTGGAGGTCACAATAAGGTGCAGTCTTGGGTTACACAATGCAACAAACACGGAAAAACATATTGAATACATACAGTAACAGCCAGGAACTTGACTCGGAGCATGTTCCCTTTCCAGTGCTTTTCTTTATGAGTGCTTACATGCGTGAATATTTGTTAATCTGTATGTCGAAGAGGCTCATGTGTGTGTTTCTCTCTCTTTTTGCTCCCGCAGCACCCATACCCATCTGAAGAGCAGAAGAAGCAGCTAGCCCAAGACACAGGCCTCACCATCTTACAAGTAAACAACTGGTGAGTCAAGATTTCCGCTCGCCCTATCTCCACCACCAGCATCGCTCTGCCTTTTATTTTCAAAAGCCTTCGCCTCCCTCTCCCCACCAAGTGTGAAAACCGTTTATGTACAGCCCTCCCCATCACATATAGACACATGAAGAGATAGCACGCGCACGTAGACGTACACACTGACAACCTTTGTAACATTATTATATGTAAGCCACTAGGATGTTCCGGTGTTATCGGCAAAGTGTTCTGCGGCTAAGTCAGTGGTCTTTGTGGTATGATGCACATGTATTCAGTGGGATATATTTAAGGGAGAAACGCAGAGATCATAAGCTACCCCTACAGCCCTCACACCCAACCCACCCCTTCATCCAAAACCATACCTAGCACCGCCACTGGTGCCCCCACAAAAGGCAAAACTGCCTTCCACCCCCTCCCCGTTTTACACAAGCTATATGGTGGATTAAGGTTTTGGTGGCCTGGCCAGCAGGGCCTTTGTAGATGGCTTAGCACATAACTGGGGGTGGTGGATTAAATAAAATGATCACAGAAGCAAAGAAATGATACAGGAATTACTTATCAAAATACTAGCCCAGGTTTTATCTGCAGCTTAATTTTGTTCAGTACATTCTCAGGGTGATGTTCAGATTAATTGAACTGACAGCTTCCTTTCAAATTTCCGGCAAGGTATTTGCACGGATTTCAGGTCTTACACAAACTTAATTATATGGAACCCCATTTTATCATTCTAATTCCATGTAGCGGGGGTTCTATTTACAAATGACAAGTCTGTGCCTTTTATTCACAGCTTTCCTTAATATATTTATCAAAGCGGGTTCATTTACAAAGTGCTCTATCTGTTGGGTACAGGCAGGCCGACATTAACGAAGCTTTTAGGTTTATCAGACTCGCAGCCTGACAAGCCACCCGAGGGTCAATTGATTTTTTGGTTCTGTGATACATTTTTTTCCTCATTTTTTCTGGATCACAATGAGAAACATGCCTGGAGAATTAGCCTGGTTTGTCGGCCTTATCTATCAGCCCCCTCCCTCATCCTCCCCCCTTCGTCCTGACATACGCTCTCTCTTTCTGTCTGTCTCTCTCTCTCTCTCTCTCTCTCCCTCTCTGTGTCTCTCACCCTTTTCTTTATTCCCTTCTAGCCAAAGGAAGTCAAGCTACTTAAATTGGCCACAGGAACCGCTGTTATCAGACTTTAATGCACCCTACAGTGTGGATAGCATTTCAATTACACCAGTAACCAAAGATTAGCCCCCGCTTGCCTGTTTCATGCCTCGTGCCACCGTTTCGGGACGCCACGCACCTTACCTACAGGAGCAGAAAATTGAGTTGCCTTGCCTGTGTCATGGTGATTAATGCAGAAATAGTCTGCAAACCTGCGAGGAGAGAGAGAGAGGGAGAAATAGACAGAGACAGAGATAGATATAGGAAGAGTTCCTGCCTTCTCAGAGGCCATGAAATCCAAGCCTGGCGCTGAAATGCCTCAGATCCATTTATAAAGAGGTCTGAAAGAATCTCGTGCTGGGTAACATCCTCATGAACCTTATTTCAGCACACACGCACTTAGACACACATACACATAGGTGGTCATGGAGCTATGTATTAATGTTACACCAGCCGTGTTAACAAAAACACACCAGGAATCAATTTTCACAAATAAAGTCATTACAGTGGTTTACAGTGAGGGAAAGATGAGAAAGAGAGAGGATGCTGAAGTTTTCTTTCCCCTCATATGTGCTTAACCAGACTGGACAGTGAGTTACGGTTGAATATTGCTTTGTTTGGGTTGTGACTTGCTTTTTTTTTTTGGTTACTGGTTACTGGTTTTTTGGTTACTGCTGAGATGGTCCACCCAGGATATGACAGAAGTCTGCCTTATGAAATTCCTGTTTAAAAAAAAAAAAGCTCTTCAAATTCCTGGCTGGCCCCTTGCATTGTTCTGTAGTTCCCTTTGATGCATGGCCACTGCCATGTTTCTGGCCAAAGAGAAGGAGATAGAGACAGAGGGAGAGAGAGACAGGAGCAGAGGATGAGAGGGGGGAAAAGGGAGGGGATGGCCGCCGTCTTCGGTTTCCAGAGTTCTCCCTCGGGGAAAGGATGTGCTGAATCAGGGCTTTGTCCGCCGGCACAATCGCAGCCCAGCGAGGGCACAAGGGTGCTCTGTGTGATAGTCAATAGACAGTGCATCTCGCTCTCTCCCAACTTGCCCCATCAAACCTCCCCAAACCATACCCTCCAACTGACACCTCCCTTTACCTGCAGCTCACCTGTACACACAGAAAACAAAACCCATAGTAGAACACTTCCAACTGGTCCAACCCTTTTGTCTCTGTACCTTAAGAAGCACTCCAACAGGTTCTATATATCATTAGCAAGCAGCCTCACCTGTTTTTAGCCCACACCCCATTAGCTGTTTCTGATGTTAATAAGGAACAAAGGAAAAGGTTAAAGTCCACAATCTCACTATGCTGGCGTTGAGCAGATGAGGAGGAGGACTTGATTATCCTCTTATTATCCTCTGTGTGCATAAGTGTGTGTGTATGCACAGGTTATGCACATTATTACTAATGGTCAACTGTGCTCTCTCAGAGATGGTATGTGTGTACAGTGTGTCAGGACACCATTAGTTGACCATTAGGCAGTGTGTTTGCTCTGCTTACATTTGAGACAACTGGCGTCATGCTAACAGAATCGGGGAGTGGTCTGACATGTAATTACATTTGTTTAAGATTGTGGGAAAAGGTGAGGGCCATGTCACACATGGCATTCTGGGATAATGAAGTAGGTGAAACGGCAGACTCAGGTGTCTATTCGCTGGAGAAGCGTTTACAGTTTACAGTATCTAGCGGTATATTTGCTTGCCTCAGCAGCTCCTGGTGTCCTGCTATCAGTCTGGGCTAAATGGGGCCTGACCGAATCCTTTCATGTCTCAGCGTCAGACCCAGCACGATGTGCTCTCACTCATTGCCATAAACACACACACACACCAACTATCCTGCCGTTATTTACCACTACGGCAATGCACACACACACAACACACATAACATGCAGGATTATTACATGGGCCTGAGAGATGACACCGATGACAGATGACTGAGAGAAACGGCATCTAAAAAAAGGAAGGAAATCGTCCCCTCATTATTCCCTCATCTCACAGGCAGCCAGTTGGTCATTTCCATGGAAGAGAGAGAGAGGAGAGAGGCAGAGCAAGTCAGAGAGCAAATATATGTCAGTTCTTGGCATCTATGATGACTGACTGCTGTGCCACTGGAGCACTAATAACAATAAAGAGGGCACTAAGCCACACTCTATTTTTACATCTCTGCCTCCTCTCTACAGCCCAGGGGGGAATACATGCATAGACACATACACACATAGACACACACACAGGGGAGAGGCTCTAATTAGTGGCAGAAAGGAATACAATGAGTGAGTTATTAAGACACAGGGGCGGATCGCAGCCAACCTTTGCCCCCTGTCGGAGTACAGGTCACATGATAAGAGAGGGATATCCGCCAGACGACGGCGCCAAGCAGCCTGTGCCCACTGAGGAGATGAAATAGGCTCAATCTCTCCAGCCATTCAGGGCAGGGCATGGTGCACTGATTGTTTTTTGTGCTTTTCCCCTTTCTTTAGAATCTGTTCTCACAGGAGAACAAACTCCACCTTTTGCAACAGTCATCATATCACTCACTGTACATTTACTATATGTTTACATTAAGATTTAGATATTTAATGTAATTGTTTTAAGACTGAGCAACCCTAGAATACTTTATAAGACTAGAACAACGAAACTGCAGTATATGCAACCAATGGTATGGAAAACTGTATGGACAATAAAATGAGAGCTAAAACGGGAGGTCAAAAGGATGCTACAGTCAAAAAAGACTAGCTTTTCAAAAAGTCATTACACTCTTATGTCTTCCCATCTATGCAGAATCCCAGATTGCATCTTGCTGTAGCACAGCATGCAGATAAACTGAGTTTAGCTAGCTCTAAACTGACTGCTCTGAAACTCTCTTCACAGCGTGTTTCCCATTCCCTTTCAGATCCTCGTTTTTCCTCCCTCTCTCTCTTCTATGGATCCCTCCAGACTTCTCAAAGTTTGACTCACCTAACTCATAGAAGCTGTACTGCAGGTTCACATGCAAACGGTCAAGCCCATTTATTTGTAGTATCTGAGAACAAGAAAGAGAAACACCAAAGCCAAATTTGTTCCTCCACTTAGCAAAGCATTTTCCACCCCCTTTCTCAGTCCAATGAGACACTTAGGAACACTGGCTTTTATGATTTTTTTATGATTTTTTATGATCCTCTGGTTTGGCGGGCAAGCCTATTATGAAATGCAAAATAATAACTAATATTTTCCAAATGTAAAATAAAGCTATGAAACTGGCCCAGCCGCCTCAGTTTTTTCCACATTCTTTATAAGTATTTAAGTCCTATGAATCTCACACAGAAGCTTTTGAGGTCCTTTTTCCCTCTCCTTACTCTTCTCTATATCCTTGCTTATTCCTTACTTTTCTGTCTTTTCATTTTTGCCACATTGGTGGGCTAGTTGACTGAAGTTGCTGGTTATCCGTCTAACTTTGACCCAGATGGAAATGTCAGGCCTTTTTTTGGCTGCAACCAGGGACTCCCGGCAGTGGCCATCTTATGCCCCTGGCTTTCTAAATATACAGCTGGAGTGTGGAGAGGTTGTGGCTGTGTGTGTGTGGTGTCGTGGTGTGTAATGTGTGTGTGTGTGTGTGTCTCTCTGGTGTGTCTTTGTGTGCGAGCATGAGTGTATATGTGAGTCTGACTGAGAGAGAGAGACTATCAGGACGCTGCCAACACAGGCATCATGATCCCTCTCATTTAGGGACCGCTAATTGGCAGTTAATTAGCAGAATTGACTCTGTTGTCAGATCCCAAGTGCCAGCCCCCCTACCAACACCCCCTACCCACTAAGTTCATTTGATCTGGCTGCTTTCTTGATGCTGTAATAATAATCC